TTTGTCCTCTCCAATTAATGTTTATGCCTCACACAATTTTTGTTGCTCGATATACTCTATCTAAATAACTTTACCGACAAATTTCGTTGCTCTGCATTCAACTATATACATTCATTCATTTACAACCTTCATGTAAATTTAATTTTATCGTAATGCAATCCAGGCTCAATATCTTATTTCATCACTGAATACTTACATATCTAATTCCTTCATATTCTTCATCTTTTAGTTGGTTCATAGAATAATCCAAAAAAATAGGTATACGTCGAAATTTCGTATAAATGTTTCTCAAACAGAATGGTTCGTTTAAAGAGCGAACAAAATGAACAAAATAACAACCTGTACGCAGATCGAACATTCCTGCATTGACTGACCTTATCTTGAATTTATTATCAGACTTGTGATGCTCTGAAAGTTGATGAAAACTGAATATAATGTGAATGCAAATAAAGAAACAATTTCTGAACGAATGAGATACAGTCGTATCAAGTTTTATCGTTTCATCAGTGAATATTGTCAGCTGATACATCTGCGATGTACGAAACGCGCCATTATCCGATATTGAAATCGATAGGAACAACTATGGAAATCAATCGCTCACCAGCATACATCATAGAAGTAAAAATAAATTTGCTACAGAGTGATTTTAAGAATTCAGCGATTTGTATGAAACGATATCATAAGTATAACAACTGAAGTTTGGTGAAGGCGTTCGATAAACGACAACTTTAAAAACTAACTGCAAATATCCGTAGAAAACGGTGCATATGTGAATGTGGCATCGTATTCGTCGGTTGTTGAGATACCAAAATGAACCAAATAACAACACGCATCCTCTGTGCCGACGGCTAGCAGATGTGGACTGGATCGTAGATTCGCATGGATTTCACTCATTTCTTTCGACTTCGTATTATCCAGCACTGTGCATATGCATGTTATCTTAACAAAACAAATTTTATGAACAATTCAACTTTTTTACATTTTCTTTTACACAATCTGCTAAATATGAAAATCTCTAATGACAAACATTTTTACGTTGTTTTCAACTCTCCGCAGTGTATCGTTTGGAATAGCAACTTTATATCTAGCCATCCAGAAATTTACACTCAAAAAGGTATAAAGAAATAATAATGAAAATAATGTTCAGTTAATCTTATCCCAAACACAAATCCGAAGCGCTCAATAATAATTCACTGCATAAGATAACGAATCAAGAAATGGGAAGAAACCAAACCGTTTTACGAATTTTTATCTTCTTAATAATTTTTCCTTCAGCAATACTATAGTAAGCAAGGAATGATATTGAGGGATCTTTCGAGTAGTCGTTCACTGCTATAACAACACCCTCACTGCCATCTGTAATGAAGCTATTAATGATTTCTACTAGGCACACACTAAATCAAACATTATTTCTGATTACAATTGTTATCAGTACTATTGTATAATAACAACACTATAATAGTAATAATGATGATAGTAATAATGATGAGTAACAGTAATAATAATAACTATTATTGCTATAGATAATAATCTTAATAACAACACATGAATATAAGACAACAAGCCAACCTCCAACTTCAAAGAGAACGGTTTCTAGAGACAAAAATTTTCAGTAAACATTTAATTATGGCTAGAGCAAGGAGCAATACTGAATGCAGTTGATAACTACACTCAGAAGCACAAACTCTTTCAAATGAGATTACGTTTCCTCTTCAAAAAAGTCTTTTTTCAAATTTCAGTACCGATAAATAAGGAACCATGAGGAACGAAACAGCAACACCGAGGTGATATTCAATAATCACAATTAATTGAAGAGCAAGAGACAGACTC